GTCCGAATATCTTCACGTCCGCAGCGGGTTGGTCGATCACATCCTTGAAGATGGTTTCAAGATCCGTGTCCTCGTCAAAGCTCACGCACAGGTCGGCTTGGAATTCTGTTACTTTTTTTAAGTCTGGAGTTTTAGGATCCAATCGACTGATCGTCAAGTGACTCTCATCATGGCATTCCTTCAAGCGTTTGCTATACTCATTGCACGCGGCGTCGACCGCAGCGTTAAACCTCTTCATGTAGCCATCAGTGAGAACGCCACTCTCTGCGAGCTTGCGACTCATCTCCTTGTCCACTCGGAGTTTCTCCCGTCGTATACAGCCTGGACTCGCACATCTGCTGAGGATAAGACTTTCATACGCGCCCATATGATGCACGAGGTCGAGAGGAGATCTCAGGCATTGATAGTCAGCCTTGCCTGATGGATCAGGCTTGCTCGAGCTGAGCATGCGGTGGGGCCATTGCAGCAAGCTGTGCATGCGGTACTGAGGCTTGCGTCTCATCCAGCCTGGACTCGCACATCTGCTGAGGATAAGACTTTCATACGCGCCCATATGATGCACGAGGTTGAGAGGAGATCTCAGGCATTGATAGTCAGCCTTGCCCTGCATTCTTGATGGATCAGGCTTGCTCGAGCTGAGCATGCGGTGGGGCCATTGCAGCAAGCTGTGCATGCGGTCACGGTAGCAGCACCTATGTAGCGACTTGACAGTAGTATTCATGTCCTGATTGTCCTCACACTGATCGTCCTCAAGCAACCTGCCGCAGCTTTGGGGAAACTAAACAGACCTTGTTGTGAGTGCACAGCTTATAGCACTAGTTTTAAAGATATTGACTAAATATGTTTCCACAAAGATTGGTACCAGGAACACATTTCAGGACGGTACAAATCATGATGAGTGTTTTCCAAAACTGGTACACATCAGTACTGGATTATTCTTTATAATCAAGTTGTATGTGACTTAGCCGAAAAAATGGTGAAAGGCGGGTGAGACATAATCGTTGTATGCAAACACATCTGCGCAGTTTATACCAATATTACACTGACTTGGTTGTAAGTCATCTTACAGTCCGGTAGGCTATTGCATGTCAATCGCTGATCTCCATGTCAACGTCTGAATGAAGTGGAGAATGAGTCTGTTGGGTCAGGCTTGGAGCAGCATCAATTCTTCTTACCCTACAAAAAAGTCAGTCACTGTCCATTGCAATGTAACATGTCCACACGCACCGTCGTACACCTTCGTCACGGTTGGCAACCGCATTCCTCTTCCTCTTGTTCTTTCGGCCTGTGTTGCTCCGACATAACCTTTTGTACATAGTCGTGTATGAAAGCTCGGTGAATCTTTTTCTCTGTTTTTTCCATGCATTCGGTCCATACTTCTCCTTGACAAGTTCAACGTAACCATGATTGAAGCACTCTGAATAGTTCTCATGGTCGATCCCAATATCAGTACTCAAATTTGCAAGTCTTCTGCCCATTACCTCGATGGCCAACATGACTGCTTTTGCTTTGCAAAGGTTCTTCTTCATGTTGGCACACACTAGATCTGTTCCTTCCAAACGTTTGAGTGGACCAATACGCTTCCATTCTCCATTAATCTTCTCCTCTTGCCCTAGGTGCCATTTCTGCCACATACTTTTGCACGGCGTCTTCTGAGGGAAAATAAAACCTTGAGGTACAGGATGTTGCATCCCCCCCCATGTAAATGTTTCGCCTTCAATCAGTATGCCTGTCCTGTCGTCAATAATTGGCAGTTCCCCTCCACCCCCTCTCCCTGTCAGTTCCTCAGGACCCTGCATCCTGAGTCTCGACGTCAGAAGTCCTTGCATGATTTCACTGAATCCTGTATTCATCATGGATGTCAGATCCTCCCGCAGCTTTTCCAGATCTCGTTGAGCTAGTGGAATGGCTCCGTTCACCTCAAAGTTTCTAATGATCAGCTCGTAAATGTCTTGCGGTAGCGAAGTTGAAACATTCAACACTGTATCGTGCAACAGCTTTGTTCCCTGTTCTTGACTCTCTCGCAGCTTCCTGATTTCAGCCACATTCATCACGTGCATCGGAACTCCACTGCAGGTCATACCGCATTCTTCGCATTCCCCGCGACAAAAACTGATATGATGCTCTTTCAATTCTTGTAAAAATTGCATTGTTCTTGAGCCTTTCACTGCAAAAACAGGTGACCCCCATAGGAAATGGTGACTTGGAAACATGTCTTTGAGACGGTCCAGATGGTACACTATCTGCGCAAGGAACATTGGTAAACATCTCTTGTAGCTGTCCGGGAACGTGTCGTATCCATCAATGAACTTGTGCATACCAATATCGTTGATTCTTGCCAGACCTTCTCTTGTGAAATGAGGAGGTAACACATCGAAATTCTCGCTCTTGGTGTTGTCCCCTGCTAGAATACGCCCACAGTATTGATAATTGCCTGGTTCCACTGTTCCGATGTACCTGTCCTTGGTGTTGCCTAAGGACCAGCTGGCTCGTTGAAATATTGATGTACTGACTGGTCCTCCCGGAATGCCTAGTAGATGCGTCACGCTCCCCTTCCTAAAACTGTGCGAACCTGCACATTTCAATCTCAGTCTCAAGACTTCCTCAGGCTAGCACTTACCAACATCCCTCCATACTTCCTCCTGCATGTCCTCTGTGGACAATACCCTTCTCAAGACTTGGCCAAACCTCTGCTTCTGGTCGTTTCCCAGAAAAAATTTGGTGTGACTTATCCTCATTCTGGTTTGGGAAAACGCATACAAAGCAATGGCCAAGATAGGACAAGACATAGGTTTGTTGGGTGCTGCAAATATGTGCCTTGTTCTGGGAGAAAAAATGTCGGCGTCAACACCCCCTTGGTCCATCTTGGTCTTCAATATTGTCAGCTTCAAGCAGTCGTTCTCCCAATCAAAGTGTTCAAGATGTAGAATGTCTAAAGTTTCGCTTCTACAGCAACAGTTCCACATGATCGTGGTACCAGCAAATCCGAACAAGCCTGTTGATCCTATTTCTCGTGCCATAGTGTCTGAACGTATCTGGGTCATCTTTTCACAAATAATTCCATACTCTCTCACTGCCAAGACACTTTTGCCTTCTTTCAACTTCATCACTCCCGTGGATTTCTTTTGAGTAACCACCCTTCCATAACCTTTGATGAGTCGACTGAGCCGGTCGTTTAAAGTACTGCCCGATGGCATTCCAGTCGCGTCGATTATGGTACGATATTAAGATGCTTCAGTACGAGCCCCATCGTCCTATTCAATTCATCTAACTTGCTGTCCATTCTGTTGAACTTGCCGTCCATTTCATTGAACTTGCCCTCCATTTTGTTGAACTTGCTCTCGACCGTGTTCTTCAGATCCTGCATGACTCCAAAGATATTCCTGTACGGAGTGTACATCAAAAAGAACGGTATCCTGGCAGGTTCCACCATCGGTGCCAAATCATACTTGGCGTCAGAAGCCAGAGAAAAGAACTCCCTCATACACAAACTGACTATCTCAAACTCCTCTCTCTTGCCGTTCATCAACAAGCCCATCGCCGCGATCTTTGTGTCTGCACCAATCATGTCGTCCTTCAATACATTGTACAGCCGATTGACCTGGAACAGCTTCTCAAAGACCTTCCCTGGCTTCTCCGTGATCTCAAAGCACATGTACTCCCCCTTTCTAATCTCAAAGTGCTCATACGAGACTCCAGGCTGTCCGAATATCTTCACGTCCGCAGCGGGTTGGTCGATCACGTCCTTGAAGATGGTTTCAAGATCCGTGTCCTCGTCAAAGCTCACGCACAGGTCGGCTTGGAATTCTGTTACTTTTTTTAAGTCTGGAGTTTTAGCATCCAATCGACTGATTGTCAAGTGACTCTCATCATGGCATTCCTTCAAGCGTTTGCTATACTCATTGCACGCGGCGTCGACCGCAGCGTTAAACCTCTTCATGTAGCCATCAGTGAGAACGCCACTCTCTGCGAGCTTGCGACTCATCTCCTTGTCCACTCGGAGTTTCTCCCGTCGTATACAGCCTGGACTCGCACATCTGCTGAGGATAAGACTTTCATACTCGCCCATATGATGCACGAGGTTGAGAGGAGATCTCAGGCATTGATAGTCAGCCTTGCCCTGCATTCTTGATGGATCAGGCTTGCTCGAGCTGAGCATGCGGTGGGGCCATTGCAGCAAGCTGTGCATGCGGTCACGGTAGCAGCACCTATGTAGCGACTTGACAGTAGTATTCATGTCCTGATTGTCCTCACACTGATCGTCCTCAAGCAACCTGCCGCAGCTTTGGGGAAACTGGACTTTTAAACTGGACGTTTAGAAGACTTTCGTTGCGATCATCGCGGGTGCATTCCGGTATGCGTCTCATTCCTTCGGCGGCGGCCACAGCGACATCGCTGGCATGGCGCGGGGGAATTGTCCTGCGCGCAGTTAAGTGAAGGTATCAGTTAAGTTTGGGGGACAGCAGTGCCCGGCGGTTGGCGGGCAGGCCGGGCCACCTCATTGGCCCGTCACGATGGTTCTCGGAGGCTCGCTGCACGCGGCACTGATCGGAGGCTCGCTGCACGGTCTCAGTTTCTGCCTTCGTTCACTGTGAGAGTCACACTGAGTCAGGTCAGGCCGCTGTGCCGCCCGGCCGCGGCCGCGCAATGTCAGGTCAAGCCTCAGTCCTCGACTCTCCTGGTTGTCGAGTCCGTACCGTACTGATCTTTTTATCCGATGATGATCAGCCTGACACGGTGATGCCATGATGATCATCGCGGATCGGATCGGACCGTCCGCCGCGCGGCCCGCGAGCCTCGCCCCGGAAGAACTTGCGCACCCCCGGCGGCGGGGCCCCCGGGGGCCCGGACGGGCGACCCGGGCCCGCCGGGCCGCGGTTCACTGATCAGTGCCGCATAACTTAGTAAGCTAGTAGTAAGAGTGTCCCGTGCCGCCGATGCGGCCCGGGCCGCGGATTGGAGTATGAGGGTGATGACACTCGTGCGTTTAGCCGTTACCATGGCACCAGAGGGCGAAGGAGGTTGCGGAGGAAGCGAAGGAAGGGGGAGAGGAGGATAGGAGGGATCGTAGTGTCGTCGACCTGTGGCCACCTAGAGCCTCTTCGACACTCGCTGTCTCTTCCTGCCTCTCGTCCCTCCGCCGCTTCCGATCTCTCCTGCTTACCCTAGAGTGCCGTGCCCCTTGTTTTCCTCCCCTGCTGCCGATTCATCCTCTCCTTCATCTTGGTTCGCATCCCCGACACTTCTCTCTCAATCGCTCAACATTCTAAGCAAACTTGTTGCTCCCTTGTCGATCTCGTGTAGTTCTGCCACTCTGAATTACCATCGGTGCATTTTTTGCCCACAAGACATTTTGCCTGTCGTGTCGTCTGATTTTGCCAAGACGCACGCAGTTGAAAGAGATTTATCAGCTTCATTGTACAATCAACGAAAATTTGCTTCAGGGCGCTTCATGAGCTGAACTTCTGTCTATGACGTGCAAAGAATGCCCAACTAACAGGATCCAGAGCTTGAGATCAGCTTGTTTCACGTGTTAGCGGCTGAGCAGATTTTATTTGTTCTATCTTCAACATGGCATTCACGTCGAGGTCGGAAAGGTCTCCAACTTTTGCAAAGTTTGGAAACACTCCGGTTTCCGTTGGACCGGGCTCATATGGATCATATTTCAACCATGTGAGCATTTGTTTTGTTCCTGTGTGGCATCAAAGTGTACACGCTACTTGTTCACAATTTTCTGGATTCAAGCAAGAGCATATCTCATTCATGTGCTTCTCTGAGTTTCACATGCACACGGCTTCTCTGAAATATCAGCGGGACGACTGACAGATTGGGTGTTTGTCAGGAAATTGATCATGCGTACGCTCCCTTCTCCAGCACATCTGAGCGAGCGATTGGAGGTAAACCGAGTGAACGAGTAGATGTCGTCGAGAATTGCAGGATACTTTACGAGCCTTCTGTCTGTGTCCTTTGCTTTTCTTCCTCGTTCCTGGTGTTCCGACGACCTCCCTGATTCAAGTTTCTTGCTCGTGATGATAGGAATTGATCCCGTTTGTGTCTATTGTGAAGTGGAGCGATGTGAAACCTGTCTCTTGTACCTCTGATACTCCTCTTCCTCCTTCTCTATCTCCGCAAATCAGCTGTTGGTGAGTTTGCATCGTTTGTAGCCGCCGCTAGGTATCAAGACTTCAACACGCCTGGCCCGGGCTCCTACGATGTAGCGCGAAAGAGGTGAAACCTGACTGATGGGAAGAAAGAAAGATGTCAACCTGCTCGAACTCAGATACATGGGAGGCCCGAGGTTCCTGACTTCCCCAGCTGACGTCGGCTTCCTCTCCAAGTCCGACAGGCTGCAGCAGGAGTCGAGGGAAGTGAGTGCCTGCTGCACTCCTGCTGGGCCTGTCGTGACTGTGCTGGGCAGGTGCTAGAGAAGCCTGGGCCTGGCGCTTACGACCTGCGCTCAAGCTTTGAGAGCGACAGGAGAAGGACGGTCAACACATCAAGTGATCTCCTCAGTCCCTCCTCGCTCTCTCTCCTCTCCTCTCCTCTCTTCCCCTCTGTTTCCTTCCTTCCTTTCTCCCTTCCTCCTTCTTCATATTACAACAATCCGTGTTCCTTCTTGCAATTTCGTCGCCTCATCCAATACATCCGTCCTTCACTCGCGGGTGCTCATTGACTGTTTTGCCAGGTTCCGCTGAGAGGGACAGCAAACGTATCATATGGTACCGTGCTCCGACTGCTCCATCAATCCCACGACAGGTGCAGCAACTTTTCCTGCTGCTTCCCCTCTCCCCCCTCCCTCCATTCCTGTTCTTCTCCTCCCTATTGACTTGTCTTTTTTTCCCCGTTCCTCCTCCCCGCCTCCCCTCATTTGTTCACTTTCCGCAGGACCAAGCCTTTGGGTACGAGGAGGGTCCCAACGGGCAGCTGGTGAAGCAGAAGCCTCCTATCGTGACCTATGCTGTCTGTGCTCAGTGGAAATGTTCCTTCCTCTGACCTTCGAGCAGGGGGACAAGAAGGATATGGTGGGGCCCGGGAACTATGACCCAGTCCTGGAACCCACGAGGCCCAAGGTCAGGAGCTTCGACTTCGGAAGGAGCAAGTCGGCACGAGCCGACCTCTCCTTCCTCACGGCCTCGGAGATTCCGGGACCTGGCGCGTACAGCAGCAGAAAGCAAGAGGAAGGGACGGAAGTTGTGCCGCAGGTGCGATGTTGATGAGGAGGACGCAGGAGTGAAAAGCAGGATGGTAGACCAGGGGGAGCAGGCTGGAAAGAAGGGCTGGAACTAAAGGGGTGACGGTAGGGGGAGCAGAAGCAGGAGCAATGGCAGGAGGAGCAGTAAAGAGAAGTAGAGGAGGAGGAGGAGGAGGAGGAGGGGCGGAGGAAAGATTCACATGGAGCTCATGAATGCCTTTAGAGGAGGAAGCCAACCGCCACGTTTGCTAGTCGAGTCCTCCGACCTTACCAGGTGAAGGAGAAACCGGTCAGAGACGAGGTAGTGTCGGCCCCGGGCCCCGGCTCCTACAAGATCCCCGACAGCCTGGAAAAGGCCCGCAAGAAGATTCCAGAACACCTCCAGTGCTTCGGGAGCACATCCAAGAGGCTGGCGAAGGAGGAAAAGCCCTTTTCCACCCCGGGCCCAGGAAGTTACGATGCCGTGAGGACCAGCTTCAACGACCTCTCCTCCTACACGGCCCCCACCATGGTTCGCAGATCCGTTCCCTTCCTCTCCTCTGGCACGAGGTTCAACGGGCCGGTGAAGGAGGCCCCCAAGGCTCCGGGGCCAGGAGCGTACGATGAGGATAATCGCTACAACTTCGTCGCCATGCTCTCCAAGAAGCGGTTCAGCCGAGGAGGCAACTTCGGGTCGACGAGCAAGAGGTTTGTTGAGCAGGCTTCTTCGCAGGACGAGGATGCTCGTTCCCCTCCTGTCACCTACGAGTCCAAGCAGCCGAAGCAGATTCAGGGCAAACTCAAGAAGGGCCCGATCAGCGTCCTCATTGCCGGGACCCCCCGCGCCCGAGCTGAGCCCGAGCTGGCGATCGAGGGCCCAGCGCCTGGCCAGTACTACAAGTCGATGGAATGGGGAACGGGATACAAGAAACCAGCAGTGAGTGCGAGGAGAAGGAGGAGCAAGAGAGGAGGAGGAGAGGGCTAGGGCATGGACCAGTATGAGGATCAGGAGGTCAGGAGCAAGGAGCAGCAGTAGCAGCACAAGGGAGAGGAGGAGGAGGAGTAGAAGGGCAGGAACATGTTCAGCTAACTTCAATCACAGAACGGAAAGACCATCTTCATTTCACAGTCGCAAAGGTTTCAGGATCCTTCCGACAAGTTCAAGCAGCAGCTTCCTGGACCAGGGACGTACTCCTCGGACGTCATGACGGTACTATGATGCCCCCCCCCC